AGGCACCAAGAACAAGTGCAAAATAGCGGCCACTGTCCTTGTCTATCGAAATCGTATACCATCCGGGATCGTTGACAGTATAATTATATAAATATATAGTGTGATTATTTGCATAGATACTAATCCAATCTTTCAATATTAATGTACTTCTAGATGACGATAAGGGCAGCGGAGGATATAGCTTATGTACGAATTCACGGTCTTGATGATGGTCGCTAAAAATCTGAAATTTTTGTTGAATATGTACATGCATCAGGTTTCAGCAATATGCAAATTTTAGGAACACAACAGATGGCAATGAGTTTGGTGGTAAAGGTTCTCCAAAATTTAGTCTCCTTCCTTCTACAGGATTAGTTTGGTGCTAAAAGTCATTAAACATAATGTAAGTCTAAAATTGGCCTTAGCCAAGGAGTTAGGCTTAGGCAGAGACAGCCAAATTTAGCCAACTTTTCAGAAGTCGAAATATCACTAATTGCCTGTACAAGTTGTTTTTTAGCAAAATGAATCAAAATTGTGATGCTTGAGAGTAAAAAAAGGTCAGGAACTTGGTGAAACAAAATTCGAAATTCAGCAAAGCAAAGCCTTTTGTTTTTCACCAATCGCCTTACTCTCGACAGAATTATCAGTTTCCATGTATGGCAAAACAGATAGTTCTTAACAGGCCAAATTTACTTTTCTGTTTGTTCATGGGGAAGCGCTAAGGCTGTTAATTATTTTCCTGAAATTAGACATGCGTACAGTGATATAGGCGCTAATCTCGGACAAATTTGGCACAAATACTGTTGCATCGCCATTACTCCACTGCCAATAAGATGGGATTTCAAGAAGATATTTTTTATCTTGTCCTTCACGGCCCGCGTTCATAATATGCTTTATTGAGGTACTGAAATTAACATATTTATTGCTGAAGCACCTATTTATTGTCATACAAATTGTCCTCTTTTGGCTTGCTTTTAAAAAATACACACGGTCGTGTCTATGGATAATTGGTATCAAAAATATCAAAACTACCCATACATTCCGATGGTAATGATGTGATTGAGGCGCTTCCATATGTCCGTCTAAACTACGCTGTTATAACAAAATGACGCACATCTAACAAGAGCAACATTAATCTCAGGAATTAGACAGGATTACATTTATGCAGCTTTGCTTTAACTTGTTTGGGCTTATATTCCAGACTGGCTAGGAAGAGCATGTAAATTTGTTGTATGCACTTCCTAACATTTTGAAGTGTTGAGCGAATGTTTTTTGGAGGCTTCAAGTGGCAGTTGTCAAAAATGTAGAGTGCCAGGAAGTGGAGGTATGCCGTTTAAAAGATAGCAGCCTGTCATTATCGCTGAATTTTGCGGAAACCGTCGACGAAGTAACCGGTACAAAAAAGTATGTTTTCTTGAGAGGGGCAGACAAGGAAAGATGCGGACTGTTTTGAAGGCAGATACGCAGTAGAGGCTAATCTTGCTAATCCTGGAATGCCAATTCCAGTAGTGCAGTGGTCCAGCGTATCGTGCCTGCATGTGAAGGTGAGTGTTCGACGTCCTCCCAGACTACATCGGTTTGAAAGCTCAGGCCAAGCTTTAAAAGAATCAGGTAAAGGAGGAGGTAAAGGAATCAGGTGAAGGAGGAGGGGGGAGGTAAAGGAGGTACCCTACATTTGAGAGCATCTTAGTAGCATCGCGACCATCCACTTTCGAAAGTTTTTGGTGTGTCGGCAAATAACAAGAGCAAATAAATTATACTGTGCATCACAGTACACCCTACACAAGTTTTTCAGCCCCCAAACTTCAGCGAATTTGACTAACACTTGCATATATTCGATGAAATAATCGAAAGAAAAAATAAACTAACTTCGATCTAATGACGCATATCTCTTCCGATATCTTTTCCGATTTATCGAGATTCTTACTACCAGCATTATAGTAATCCATTAAATCCGGCTGACAGGAGTTTGTTGGAGGCGTTATCAACAATTTTTTACAGCGAGAGATTTCTGCGATATGATAGTCTGGATTGGTGAGTAAATCGCAGCCTGCAGATTGTTTTTTGTCACATTTTCGTACTTTGAAGTGAATGCCAATTAGAACAAATCCATTTCATGGCTATTTGGTAAGAAGAGCGGTAGTACTGTACGCCGAGTACAAGACCGCCAATAGCTTGCTTTTAAAAAATTTTTATAAAACAGTTTAGCAGTGAAATTCTTGCCCAGGGCACTTGGCACTTGCCGCAACTTCCCAGGACTGCTCCTCTAATGAATTGCGTACGAAGAGTGCTTTTAATTACAAAAACAATGACATACGATCGACGACCATTGGCGTGGGCATATGGCATCCGTAATCGGGAAAAATATCTGTGGAAATTTTTCGGATGGAAACAATGACAAGCATTTTTGCGTTTCGCACAATATCTTCCAGCGGAGCTTCTGTCCCCCCTTGAAGTTTTTTTCTTCGTGCATTTTTGGTCATTCTCGTTGAATGCGAATTCTGTTCAACCAGCCTATCACGTATCCATACCGTCATAAGCCGCTCTTCAGACTGCGCAGTTTCTGCATACATCCACAGTGAACCGCCCTGAAATGAACTATGCACCGTATGAAACACTGCCAACAGCAGAGAATCCGACCGCTCTCAGTGTTTTATTTGCGGCAAAGTGTTCCTCCTTACAGAACATGCGGACGCTGCTTTGGAGGTCCTGTCCTTCTCTTCAACAAATGATTATCACACGGAGAAAGTAAAAAATATCAACAGTTTTTGCAGCATCCTGCACTGTGCTTTATCCACTGACGGAACTCAAACGTAAGTAAAAAAAAAAGGAAAAAACTTAAACATAAGCAAACTCCGTTTTAATAAACGGTTTACATACTTCCATAGTTTGTTGTATCTTCGTCGTTTGTGATTTCTCTTCCCATCTACCAAATTCTCTTTCTCTTGTGATTGTCAAGGAAACCTTATGCAGTCGGGTCTCGCTAGTCGCGCCGAGCGGCATTAGATATATCGACGTGCTACTACCGTCCATTGGCACAGGCAATGAGAATGCGTAGTAATCTCCTGCCAAGCTAATCGGCAGCACTGTAAGTTATATATTTTTTTCTCAATTTTAGGCTT